AGTCCGACTCTCTAACCATTAGGCCACGACTTCCCCTTTCAAAAACATCAAAAAACCTTCCAGACCCCGAACTTTTGAACAATATACATATCTAAGGTGCACATATACCTGCCTTTTTGTGGTCAATATTGTGATCCAGTCACCCAAGACCCAAGCTAATATGAGGAGTAAAGGTGATCTGTACTGTATGGAATCATCAGTATAAAAAGAGTGGGAAGAAGCCTCGTTCACCTCATGCGCTCTCACAAGTCCCTAAAGGAAAGAGTCTCCCAAACATTCCAGTACTGTTTTCCCAAATCTGTCATCTCTGACTGACTACACCTCCACACTCTGTCTGATCGTGCCATCGCGCAAGCAGCTGCCACTCTGAGGCCTCGTTAAATCTCCCATCAGTCACTTCACAGGATCAAGAGATTACGCATCACAGCCTGTGACATCTTCGTCAAGACCGCGGATCAGCACGCTGTCAAAGGTACCACACGCAATCAGAATTCCGGGCATGGCATTCAAAGGACGAGCAAGCAAGAACGAAAACAGCAGAAAATGAGGAAATACACTGGAAATGCTTGATGCTGTAAACTTCAACGCTTGAATCGTCCTTAAGCACTCACACGCAGTTACACTCCAGCTCCACTGCTGTCTTGACATTTTATGCAACACTGAACACATGCTGATAAAAGAGTGTTTGGGAGTGAAAGGCTTTGTCTCCGTCTAAGAATGGTCTGATGGCCTGAACTCAGTGTGAGGGAGTTTCAAGCCTGTTGACAAAGCTTGCCCTATCCTGTGTCCATTGATCATATACATCATGGTTTTTACATTATGCAAACGTTTGGATTTGCAACCAGATATATTTGAACTAAGGATGCACCGATATTAACATTCCGGCCAATACAATAAGCTGCAGTGTAGTTAATGCTAACTAAATCAAAAACTGTTAAAAATGTAATTGAAATGAACCTGAAATAAAACATATTTTACATAAAGACAGCAAGCTGGTAATTATTTTCATGTTATGGTTGATGATAAATAGCAATATACTGTATTATAGTATAATGATAAATACTAAATATTTAAAAATGCATTTTGTCTAAATAAATATAAATAAAATACAAAAAACTAAAATATATCACAGATGCTATAAGTAAATTTAAGCATCTCAACACTGAATGTACAAAAAAATTGGATATTTATTTTGAGTTTTGCTAAAGATTACATTTAAGTGTTGTTAAAATATTATAATAAAAAAAAAAAATTTAATTAATAAAATATTTTAAATAAAATATTTTTACAGAAAAACTGAGTATTATAGAACGACACAGATAAATCCAAATGTAAAAATAGAAATAATAAGCATGCACTATTAAACATCCAATATTGGCTGATATACCAAAAAAAAATTATATATTATACTAACCAATATGGTACAGATATATTGTACATCCTTAATTTGAACCAACTGTATGTTAAATGGTCAAATTGTTTTAGCAAATTGTGTTGATTTGTAAGGTTCTTGTGGAGATTCTCGCTGGTTAATGCACAGCTAAATTGGTTACAATGCTGGAGCAAATATATCTAAATGGAAAAAAGAAAGGATTGGATTAGGTAACATTATCTCAATTAATTGCACAGAATAGGATGTGTCAAAATTGCAAGGATGAAATCAAGATGATGAGCAAACCGTTACATTTCACACAGTATGCAAGCAAAACTGTGTGTATGAATTTACACCTGTCCCAGAGTTGCATCACAGCATTTTGGAAACAAAATTTGACCATTAAATGAACAATGACAGCAGAAGAAAATGCTTATTGTTGAGCCTGGGGCCAGTTCTGTCTCTCTGAACACATTCAAAGGGAAGTTACTCTGCTATAAATCCTCATACACACACTGATGGAATGCAATGCAACAAACACACACACACACACACACTCTTACACAATCTAAACAAGACAGACGAGGAGAGACAGACACATAGAAAAGTGTCAGAGAGAGAACGGGATACCTTACTGTTGATTTTTGACTTTTTGGCATCCTTGCGCAGCTTCCTGTTCCTCCGCTCTCTGCCATCTCTCCGTCCGAGCGCTCCCCCCATCTCCTCTCATCACACACTCATCCGCCACGTGCCCTCTCACCTATCGCCCTGTCTTCTCCTCCTCGTCCCCTCTCTCTCACTCTCTCTCCACACACTCACGTCTCGCCGGAGTGCTGCTCGCTCACACTCTCTCTCTCTCGCACTCGCACACACACGCAGTGTGATGAAGGACTGATTTTGCTGGATGCGGTGACGGGGAGGGAGCGGGAGGGAGAGAGGGAGGAGAAAAGGAGGAAGAGGGGGAGAGAAGTGAGAGAAGTGGTGGTAGTTTTGAGGAGGGGAGGGGGAGACCATTTGGGGTTGAGCCAGTAAGGAAAAAGCTCACGTTTATTCATTCACACTCATTCGTTCGCGCTGACGGTGTGTGTCCCATAGAGAGCAGTGATGAAACAGATCCACGTTCTGACAACACACACACACTATGCAGTCGACTGCAGCATGCTCATTGACCAGAACAGATACGACTGCGACTACATGAAGCTCCGCCTCCAGATTAACGTGATTGGCCAGCCGAAAACCAGAGTGGTAATGCTTTTCTCTCTCTCTCTTTGATGTCTGAGGAGGGACGTGTGATTGGTTGATTAAATGATTTTGTATTCAGACTGCTTGGAAACAGTAGTGATACAACGATATATCGGCCAGGGTGTCTATATACTAGAGAAAGCACCTGAGCGCCTGATGGATATGCACTACGTCAATGAATAATATATTTTTTTCAGTATAAATTCTGAGATGCATTTTTGAAAGTTGGTGCAGTGTATTTTTTAGCACCTTAAATTAGATTGTTTTAATTCCTTAACAATATATCTTTTAAATAATATTAATAATTAATGTGAACTGTATTAATAATATTAATAATGTTAATTTGAAATATATTAAACCATCCTGCAGTCCTCTTGGAAGTTTGCTGAGGCCCCTTAGTGGGTCCAGGACCCCTGGTTAAGAACCATTGCTGTAGTGGGACACTAAAAACAGTGTGAGAAACAACGCAAGAGCTGAAAGGTCCATCTTAATGTGTATGGCTCAAGCAGCAGTGCTTTAGAATGGGACGAAGGAAGGAAGGAAATTTAAAGACACCTTTAAGAAAGGAAAGAAACAAGGCAGAAAGAAAGAAAGAAAGAAAGAAAGAAAGAAAGAAAGAAAGAAAGAAAGAAAGAAAGAAAAAGCGTTTCTTAGAAGGAAGGAAGGTATGAAGCAAGAAAGAAAGGACGGGAAAGGAAGGAAGAAAGAAAGGAATTTGAAGTTTTCCTAAGAAGGAAGGAAGAATTTAAAGATGCAGCTTTTCTGAGAAGGAAGCAAGCACAGAAGGAAGGAAGGAATGAAAGAAAGACAGAAGGAAGGAAATATGCAGCTTTTCAGAGAAAGTAGTAAAGAAGGAATGAAGAAAGGATAAGTAACTAGTTAACCTCACTAATTGATATTTTCTTATGATATGAAGAGTTAATTTGCAAAAACCGATAACTCCATTTTTTTTTTTTTTTCAGAAATCACGTTTTTTTATTGCGCATTCCAAGTAATATCAATCAAACTGCAGTTGGGTTATTTTGATTAAGTAATAATAACTTAAACAGATACAGGTCATTTACTAAATTAAAGTTCATTGAAAGTATGTCAGCTTTGATGAAACTCCTCTCAGCTAGCACGTCTTTTCAAAGTGAAAGTAGTCTTGTCACCTGACCTGAATACAGCGCGCTGATTCGCTAAAATGGACTTATCGGCTTCTGTTCAAAAACAACAAGGGCGCTTGTCGGCTTCCGCAGTAAAACGTGAACTTGCGATGCCTTGAAAATGGACAAAACCGGCTTTTTTGACAAAACGTGTTGTGTATAATGCACAGCAATCAGCTCTTTTTTTAAAAGTGCCGTTTATCGGTTTTTGCAAATGAACTCTTCCTATATTTAATAATCATGCATGTACTGCACAGACACACTAGTCTAAACCACTGCAGTGAAACAATTTATACCAGCATAATGAACTCATACAGGGTCAGGCAATTGCTGCAGTCTGCTTTGCTCTCTCTCTCTCTCTCTTTCACACACACACACACACACACACACACACACACACACTCTCTCTCTCACACACACACTCACTCTCTCTCTCTCTCTCTCTCTCTCTC